AGGATCCTATGGAGTGTCACAAAACTTTGGAAACATTTTGTGTTTTACATATATCTCAATTTAGAGAAAAGATAAAATGTTGAGTTTATTTCGGAAATATGTGTAATTCAATTCTCTAGAAACTTATATTTAGGTGAATTCAAAATAATAGTACTGAACGTTGTTCAAGATCGAATAGTTTAATCGGTCTTGGCGAAAGATGTGGAAAATGAAGATGTCGAAAGAGGAAAATTTCGAAAGAAAAATTAAAAAAGGATAAATATCGAAAATAATAACGTCAAAATTGAAAAAGAGTTAAAAAGAAAAGGTCGAAAAAAAAGTTCATAAAGAAAATATCGAAATAAAAAAGTTCTAAAATGAAAATATTTAAATGACAAATTTTTTCCTTGTAAAACATGATAACTCCTATGTTTTAATATTTTAGAATGAAAAAGGCAAGAGAAAATTGGTAAAATAATAAGATCTTTTTGTCTTTCCGATTAACAATAATAAAACTAACAATAGTTTTTTGTATTGATGTTCTATTATATTCTCTTTCTTTTTCTCTTCTTGACTCCATTGTTACAACTGAGACAGCAACATGATGGTATGGCAAAAGAACGGAACAAAAGAATAGCTTTCCTTCATATGGAATCGAACCATGTATCTCCTGCTTTTCAGGTAGTCGTACTACCCATGATATCGAATTTTTAAGCAGTTTTTTCCACAGAACCCAAGGCTGTAAGCAAAGTCGTACTTTCGAATTTTAACTTGAAACTTTTCCCACACTGAAGCCTTAGTTAGACTAGGTTGTGCACAAAATTCCACATTTTTGGAACGTTGTCTTTGCGAGATACGGATTTTTAAAAATATTTATATTTTTTATAATGTCTACAATAAGTGTCCACATTTTGATAAATTTATATCTCCCAAAGACAACGTTCCAAAAATGTGAAATTTTGTGCACAACCTAGTCTAACTAAGGCTTCAGTGTGGGCAAAGTTTCAGGTCCAAGTTCGAAAGCACGATTTTGCTTACATTAAGACTTCCTGAAGTTCTTTATGGCCTAATAAGATCAAAACCTTAGGCTCAGTATAGTGAAAAATAGCTACTAGTCAGTAATGCAATTCGCTTCCCAGATTTGCTCGAAACTTTAATTCAAGTTTTAGTTTGTTATTTGGTGGAGCTTATCATCATCTATCTTCGGTGGATGCGCAAAGATGCGCCATTGAACCCTTGTCGAGATGTTTGGCATTTTGTAGCACAGCACCGTAGCTCTCCCTCAGGTTCACCTGAAAAATCAGCTTTCGAATTTCGACTTGAAACTTTGCGCAAAGAAAGGTCCCAATAAGACTAGTTAATACTAAAAGTTTCAAATTTCTTGATTGCTCCTACCCTTAAATATGAACATTTAACATTTTGTGCTATAAGTGATGTGAAAAAGAATATTTTTTTCTTATACTCATATCTCGGCACAGAAGGAATCGAAAAATCCAAAACTTTCAGAACAAACTAGTCTCCTTGAGACCTTTCTCTGGGCAACGTTCCAAGTCGAAATCCGAAAATTGATTTTTCAGGTGAATCTAAGAGGACCACAGCTTTTCCCTAAAAATTGCCATAAAAATTAAATATCTCGACAGAAATAAGTTATAAGCACAAACTTTTTTCAGGATGTTCATAGCTCATTAGGGCTTACATAATGCACATAGTCTCGATTCGAAAGCAATTTGGCAACTGGAAATTGCTCTTGATCCTATTTTCTGCCCACTGTGCCTGGCCAGACTGGCTATCCCAATATATAGTAAAATTGCCCTAACTCCCATTGAAAACGACATATAAATCTAATTTGTTTTGATTTTTAGCTAGGCAACCTTCCTTTGTGCACAAGGTTTCGGCTCAATATGATTCTTTATCAACGAAAAATATTGTACAACTGACTAACAATCATGATTTTCTCATTCTTTCTCTTTGTTGTATACTCCTTGAAAGAAAAAAAATCTTACTTCGAAATTTCTAGTAAAAAACTCATTATTTCAGTTATCGGGTATACTACAAAGATACTTTTTAGGAGTCAAAATTGGAACCATTTTTCATTTTAACAAATCAAAACCGCCGACCTCCAGTGATCGGGCTAAAGATCCTGTTTTTCAAAAACTCTCAAATAAGAAATCCGTTTAAATGAGTTCAATTGCTTTAAAAAACCGGAAAATAACGAGTTATTGTAGAGCCTTATGGATTGTGTTCAAGAAAATGTGCACGACAACATGTTTTCTTAACCGATCTTCTAGCGTTAATACGTGTTTCTACCTTTCAACGAGATCTGTGAGAACCCTACGCTAAGAAAGTCCGAGAATATTCTATGTGGATCCCTGGAACGTGATACATATCATTTATCGAAATCTTTACTGTAACTGTTTAGGATTATACTCAAATGTGTCAAAGAATCAGCATTTCAAGTTCTCATAGAGCGAAGCCAATCCTTGCAAAGATATTCATAAGACAACACGAGCATTGGTTGATGATCTTTTGTGACATTTCTTACGCTTTCTACAAGTTTCAGAAGATATTTTATCACGATTTTGTCAAGGCCTGGCTCAAAACTTCGCATAAAGAGCCTAGTAGAATTTAAAGCTACATGGAGCGTGGATGTCAGTTTGGTATACTTATGTTGAGAATTTCCATTGCAGGTACTCAGAATCGTAGTTCGATCGCTTTCCATAATCAGCATCTTGAATCATATAAAGATAAATTCTAATTCTGAAAAACATCTTTATTTGGAAAACGTAAGGATTCAGTGAGGACCTTGTACGATTCTATTCGATGAATGGCTATAAGTTCCGAGTGAAATTTTAGTTTTCAATTCGGAATGCAGTATCGTATGACAAACAATCCTAATCGGATATGGTATCGGGGCATGGATATCTGAAAACTTTCACAAATGATTGTTGAGGATTTCCAACATCTGGTTCCAAATGTTTGCGGTAGAATCGTAGCAAGATTTATAGGTATATCAGTCGAGAATCTTACCAAGAAAATAGCAAAATCTGTCATACTTCTGCTTGAGTTCATCTAAGTTCCAACAGAGATTTCTTTCTGAATTCGAAATGTCGAATCGTCGAAGAGTACGCTTTCGATTCTGGTCAGATATTAACAGCATTTGCATAGAGGATTTTAGCAAGATTTGGTCAGGTTCTTTCAAAATTGTCGACAAGCTTTTCATCATGAAAAAATCTTAGTAAGAAAATTGGAACATCCGATATATTTGCAAATTAAGAAATCCTTACAAGATTCTATGATGATTACTCGATTTTGAAGTATTGCTGCTGTCAGAGTCTCCACTGAAACTGTTCAAGATTTTGTCCGGACGGTTTCGAAGTATTTGTATCGCGAATTTTTGCGAGAGTGCTGGTGATCCTGATCAAAAACTTGATTGGGAAACTAAGCGAGTGAGTTAGAATATTTCAGGATACTTCTCTATGGTTTTTTCTTAGTTCTAGTAGGGATTTCTGTCTTTATAGAAAATGCAAAATCCTAGCCGTGTTCACTTCCAACCATAGTCAAAATCTTAATTCGAATTCTAAATACACTTCTCACTAGACTTTATCAGGTTTTTATGAACATATAGTTCAAGTATTCGGATTAGGATCAATGTAGAATTTGAATGTGGTTCTGACCAATATTCCTGTGGGACAGAAACAAGATCTGTCAAAAACTAATTCTGAAAAATTCAAACAAGATTGCATGATGACTTCTGAAACACTAATGCATGGATGTGAGTAGGTGTGAATGTATTATGGATGGGTGTCAATCCTCACCTCATATACACCTCACATTAACCCACACCCACGCTCACACCTACACTCGAAAATGAACAGAAGCATCTTAAACACCTTCAAGATGGAATAAGCAAAATAAGAATGACAGATGAAGAAACACCTTATTTTGAAAAGTGTGAAAATCAATTTAGAATAGATGCTCTCGATCAACGAATGAGTTATAGGAAAAAGAAGATGGTTGGTTGTGCGAAATTTCTTCTACAAAAACCACCATGACGTCAGTCAAATGAATAGTCGAGACAGTTTTTCTTTGAGGCACCTCGTTGTTTACTGACACGATTAAAAACTGATTTGAGTGGAATCAAAAAAGAGCAGGGAATGTCTTTCAGTGCGAAACATGTGAAGGGAGTCAAATTACTTGAAATTTGCCAAAACCTCGTTTGTCGTTCGGGGTTTTCGTACAGCATCCAAGTTTGCCACTATAGTTTCGTAGCTGGACTAGTATCCGTTCACTATCGTCCCCTTCTCATGCACTCTATATTTGTGCTACCTATGTTGAATCTTCAATATCACAAATATTCTGATGTTATTAACTTATTCTAATATTTTTTCCATTTTAAATGAATCACTGCTAAAGACCCTTTAGAAAGCATGAGCCGATAGGTTTCTGCGTACGTCGAGTAATCTTAACTAATTTATATCTAGTAAGTGACATGAATGAAGAGTATATAGCAATCAAAATTTTCTCTGGACCTATTTTAGCGGTTTTCCTAAATGATCAACTTATTAGTTTTTGATTAATCTTATATTACTTGTTAATGGCATGTTCACTCTTTACCGAAAACTAAAAGGAAGCCCTTTGAGATGTTCGTAGCCAAAATTATGCACAAAATGCTTCAAAAAAGGTGTCTGACAGAATTGGAATATCTGACGTTAAGATTATCTGAATTTAGATGAAGACGAGAACGAGGAGATGTTTAGAATAAAGTGCATTCTTATAATATGAAGAAGAAGAATGAATTTTGTTTTATAGCTGTCAACAAAACGAATCAAACTTCGATAGTGACGAAAAGTAGCCTACCTGGAGATTACTATTAATTGACTTTTACTGACGGTGAACGTTGAATAACTCATGATATAAGATCGTTTATCTTATCAAAGTAACCTTTAACTAGTTGCAGAGTAATATTGCATACAAAGCAACTATATGTACTTGATTAAAAAATAGTATTTAACAAGATTAAACTAATGTTTACCTAGTTGTTGGGTAGCAGTTGTAGTTGTTATTGGAGTTGTTGTCGTTGCAGTTGTAATTGGAATCTTACTTGTAGTTGTACCATTTATCGCTATCCATTATCATAGAAAATATAGAACTTGGTACATTTAAGTTTTAGCTAAAGCCTAAACAGTGTTTCAAAGTAGAGCGACGATCTCAAATGATCTGAAAAGGGATTTTTTTTTCTTGCGAAACTAATCCTTGATGGAAAACTTCAGTGCTCATTAGAGACTGAAAAGTCAAGAAAATTTTCGACAATTCAATTCGATCTGATTCGACTGAAACAAATCAAAGTAAATTGAATTGAACCGAATCCATCAAGACCATCCTGCTCAAGTTCATCATTTCTAGAATATTTCCAATACGAGTGAAGATTAAAATGCACCAGCTGCCGTTACAGTAAAAAATAGCTATTCCAAGTATGAAGTTTGTAATTTCAACCTGTCACATAAATTGTCCATTTGCCAGTGTGTTCATCTCAAATCATTAGAACATTTTGCTGCTATATCGGCAGTGTGAGTGAAATGAAATTAAAAGAGTATTCAAAAGAACAGAATAATAATGTAAAGATACATTGTTACAAACTCTCTCTCGTTTCTCTCGCCATCTGACAGCCTGCATTCTTACGTTTTTCTCTCAAAAAAATTCTCGAAACTTCGAAACATTATAGCTAAGTCAGTGGTGCTACAAGCTATGGAAAAACAATTCACATGCACAGTTGAATTACTAATCATTAGTGACCTATTTATCCCATTCAATTATTAAAACTCTCTTTAACTCTACCGATTACTGTGTCGCAGCCAAATGATCAGCCTACAATTTCTCAAGTTTAGTTATTAGCAACATGACAGAGAGAATTATTAATGCGTTTTCTTTCGAACTAGATATCAATCGTAGTTGTTTTGAAAAAAATTACGGAGTGAACTCAATATTCACAAGAATCAGTCGAAAATACAATGGAAACTGTGAATAAAGAGAGCCCAGGTCAAGAAGTACGGGTCGGCTCCGGCAGGAAAAAACCGGAAATCGCAGGAACATGGAAGCAGTATTCTCGTCCGGAAATTTTCAGATATTTTTCTGATGATTTCCGACCACTTCCGATTCTTTCCTTCAGGAAACGTTCGGACATCATCGGAAAAAATTCTGAAATTTCCGGACGGGAATACTGCTTCAACTTCCCAGCTATCTCCGGTGTTTTCCTGCCGGAAACGACGTCTTTCCTGAAGGGTCCCGCAGGGAATTCACGGATCTGGGCGCCGGAATCATCGTCCTGGAAGGCGTGCCACAATAGAATCGATGTGCTCTTATGAAGATGCTAACATATGACACGTTCTACAGAATCAAATCGAATCGAATGATCAATTGTTCAATTTGTTTCGAACTTTCGTGTATATTCAAAAGCTCTTTGCGTCTCCATGTATTGATAGATATAAATGCAACAGGCTCTATGTTTCAAATTGATGAATACAGTCCATGAGAAGAGAAGAAAGCTTTTCTTCAATAATTACAATTCATTTTGTCTCTGTCACGTTCTATCTACTTGTTCCAAAAGACGCTTCGGCTCTTACCCACTGCTCTTACATTAACATCAACTACATATGTGAGGGTGTGTGAACAATGAAGAAATAACATTAAGAAAGATTGGGCTTTCACTTGAATCTTAAGATTACTGTTTGTTTTCTTACTTGCTATCGGTGGACAGAGTTGTTGATTAAAACTTGGCACTGGATAACAAACAGGAAGACTATGACATCGAGGATGATGAACACATCTATGGTTAGGTTCATAACAAATGTTGTTTGAGCTTTCGCATGAAACTAGCTCAGAACAATCTACGAATTCATCGCCACATATGCCAATGTCAATAGCACCTACTATATAGAAACAGGCACACGCACTATTTGGCGAACATCGATCATATTGAGATATTTCATGACAGAATTGAGATTTTACTCGAACTAGCGACATACGAAATTAACAGTAGGACACGTAAAACAAAACAAGAATCAAACCTGTAAAGCTTAAAAGGAAGATTGTTCAATATTAGATGAATAGAAAAAAATAGATTTTAAAATTACCTGAATAGAACGAATACGAAACAACAAATTACAGTTGAAACCATCATTTGCGTTGAAATGAGACAGAATAGCGGTGGCACCAGTCTTTATATTTAATGGATATGTAATGTTTTTCGTGTTTGCCGAAAGTGAAGAAGCGCACGACGTGATCCTTCGATAAATAGAAATTCGATATTGCTCTACTGCTTTCTTAAGCACTTCATTTTTCTCCAAAACAGTAATCTTTATAGAAGAAAAAGTGTCATAAAAGCATATGCGATTCCTTCTGCGATACAAGCATTTTAATAGACTCGTGCCATAATTCGAAACATGAATATTGCTGTTGTCAATCATTGGCTCACTATGTAATGATGACTTAGAACAATTTCAAGGACAAATTTTGTTTTTAATATTTGTGTTCTTATTATAAGCAGCTTAACGAAATTCGTATATTGATCAAATCAAAGTTACAATCTATAGCCAGTCACATTCACGTATACTTTGAACTGTGTCTTCGTTGCACCACAAGGGTTTAATTGTACGAATTTCATCTCCAAATCTCGTTTTTGACCTAAACATGTTCAGTTGACGAAAAGATCTTCTATGAAAGTAGTGGCGTACCTACGAGTGCGACAAAGTCTGGGATCATTTGCGAGTAAACAAGTTATTTCAACGGTGAAACAGATTTCTGCTTCCTCTGTAGAAACGTTGTCTGACAACTTGCGCTCTTTTTGTGAACAATTTTTAGTCAAGACACTTCGAAAACAATCTCTCCAGCAAAATGATCATGCTCAATCGATTCAGTCACGTTCAACTTTAGACTGCAGAGTCACTTGTCAACTTTCAAGCGAATGGTATTCAATTTTTTCTCATCATCTTTCTTTCAGATCAGATATCTGACCACAGGAATCTTTCTTCGAACTTGTCATCATTATTCTTGTTGCCATCATTGACTATCAAATAAACTCGGATCGAAGATGTAGATTGGTGTGAGATGATACGGATGTACCTATCGTTGTAGGTAT